GAGCACATAAAATTTTACATTTATGGTAATTCCTTGACAATATTAACACTAAGTGGCAAGATAACACATACAAACAGTGATTTTAGTATTTGTACAACATTCTCAGAGAGGTTTCACCGTTTTTAGCTTTAAATAACAAATGTAAGTGAAATTGAAGAATGAAGGTGAAAGTGTAAATACGAGGATCGCCTCGATCGCAAGTTAATATTGATAGAAACATTAAATCATTAAAACTTTTAAATTATAATACATTACTTCGGGCGATATGTGATATGATATGATATTCACATAGTAAATTTGTATCTACATTCTTCAACTTGCGAAGTTTGGCAGTCAGCTCTGTATATTTCTGCTTTTTTTGTAAAAAGAACGGCAGCATTCGTGATTCCCATCAATTCCCGGATGTTGTTTAGCCACGACTTTCTTCTGCGACCAACACCTCTTTTCCGATCATAATATCTACATTATATTATCATCTACATACGTAAGACTCATATTTTACTATTTAAGGAGAAGTCTTGTCATCATATCATAATAGTAACAATGATAAATCAGAACCCACGGGCTGGATAAAATTAAATTAGTAATGTCATCATTCTCAGACTAAGCCGAAAATTAAAATAGTGGAGATAGGTTCACTTCTTATAAGTTGTCTTCACAGTGTCTAACAATGAACTTATACGAACTAGTTTTATGGTGCGTTTTAAATATCATGTCACAAACAATCATAGCTTAAAATTCCTGTGTTGTCAATATTTAGAATATTACTTACACACGTCCAAAAACATTATCATTTTTTAATATTTAGTATATTATTTAATGTTTTTTCAAATACAATTTTGATATACTATTATTCACATCACATCACATCAATAGCCTTTAATAGTCCACTGCTGGACATGGGCCTCTCCTTAGAAAGGGATTGTGTCAAGTTTTCTTTCTCTCTGCAGTGCTGTTGTTCTGCGTAGTTTTCTCCCTTAGTCGGCTGTTACGACACCCACGGGATGAACACGGACTTAATTGTAACTGTTAATTTGACAGTTATGTTAGTTGAACAATTTTTTGGTCATCATTTTAGAAACTGGGCGAAAAGTCTTCAAATTGTTTTCAATAAAAAAAACGTATACTTGAATGTGGTGCATCGGTTGGCGTATAAAATAAATGTAACTCAATCTTTTCCTACTAGCTTTCACTAAACGACTACGCCAGCTTAAATCTCTATGCAAGTGGTAGCCGTTTTTAGTAAATAAAAACATACACGATTTAAGGTTAAAGTTTCAAAGCGATCGGTAAAAAGGAACAACGATACGACGAGCCCTAGTAATAATTTGTCAGTTATTGAGCGAATTATGTTATTTATTTCAGATGTATCTTCAGTATTTCAAATTAATTAAAACCATTCATTTCAATGAAATGAAACAAGAAAATTATATTGTAAAAAGCATTAGCACGTATCGTTTATGCCTGCCTCAAACCAGCAACGGATATTGGAGTAAAAGGAAAATGCATTGGCTTTTTGTAATGTGCCAATAACCTGGAGATTAGGACGGTCGGTGCGGGAATACTCGGCCATTTTCTGTTCCTCACACTTACTTATACCCTAACATGCTTACGATGGAGAATCTTTAACGTCAGGGTCGCCCCAGTATGCGTATCTAAGCGTATATTAAGGAACGTTTACGCCTAAATTAATATGTAATGTGAAACGAGGAACAGTTTGTTTTGGGTTGATATGTTTAATATCGGCATGGGCTCGGCAGCCTATTTTATTCAGGAAATGTTAATCAGGTTTTGGTTCTTAAAACTGATGAAGATAATACTTATGTCGCATGATTGTAAGCAGTGTAGTAATACTATAAAGTTTCATGGGTAAAAATGCTTTTTATTTGCAATGAGCAAACAATTAGAAACGTAAGAAATTTACTTAGTATCTTTGTACCTGGACCTTTGTACCTTTGTACCTGTACAAAAACCTCCTTTCTAAGGAGAGGCCTATATCCAGCAGTGGATTATTCAAGGCTGTTGATGTGATGATGTGATCTTTGTAACTTATGCATTTCACGTATAGCTATTTAAGTTTAAAGTTGTTTAATATTTTAATTAAAGAAACCTTCATTGGCAAATACTGTGTAGCCTCGGGCACCTGCAAGTTTGACGCACATAAAATAATAATGTACTTGTCATTTTATAGAAAGTACTACAGCTTACATTTAGCTTAATTTAAGAGCAATGATAAAATAGTTACAACAATAGACTCAATCCTTAGCTGTGGCTAAGGAAAACCTCACAACTTAGCACTGGGAAGACTGTAAAGTCACACAAAGTATTTTCATAAGCGCAAAACCCAGGTATGATATTTCGCACATTTTCTCTAACAAATTTCTAGCGTTAATGATAACATGTGTTCGCGCATTTATAGTGTATTCATTTTCAACTTAATGTCTGTCAAACTGAATGTGCTAAACTTCGAATTCCTATAAAGATTAACTTACTTAAAGATTTATGGTAAAAATATTTTGATATGCTCTCATACAATTCTAGTTATAGTTTACTTGCTGCCAGTTTATTTTTGCTTATATCGTATTCCATTTACCAAAAATATATATTTATTTTGTGCAAACCGTTTAAACGCGGGAGAATTGTGCGGCGGTTCGACAACATTTTTTTTTATGGAAGAGGGCGCTAAAGAGCAGACGTCACAGGTCCGTCAGCAGGTCACCTGATACCGTCGACTACCGCCGCCCATGAACGCCTGCAAGTCACAAGCGCTTTGCCGGCCTTTGAGGAAGGAGTACGCTCTTTTCTTGAAGGTCGCATCGGACCGGGAATACCGCAGACGATAACTTGTTCCAAAGATTGGTCGTGCGAGGCAATAAGTGTCTTGAGTGGTGGAGTGGCAATTATACAAGTTAAACCACAGCCTCATAGAAAATATATGTTAAACAATTATTTAGTGCTTTTCGCCCAGCGAATGAAATTCCCGGAGCCCACACCCCTCTGATTCTTGAGGTTCAAAGGGTGGCGACGCACTTTTGACTTTTAAGTGGTAGGTCGCCATTGACGGTGGTAGTCACTCTCCTGTGTCTCCAGGTTCGCCCTATAAAGGCCGCCATAGGGGGGGGGGGGGGGGGTTTCTACATAGTATAAAGGTATAAATGACATTTTAAGTCAATACAATGCATAGAAAACCTATTCACGTAAAAATGAACAGATTACTAATTTTGATGTAATTTAACCCGATATTGAAAATGCTTTCGTTATTGCCCCATATGTTTTCGGAATCAAATGTCTTCATGAAGTTATAAAATACCACGGATATTTAACATTATATAATAAACTATTTACTTTATAAGTGTACTTTATAAGTCTGAAGATATATATTGCATTGGAGAAAAATGTAGCAAAACATGATAGGCATTAATAAACCATACATACATTTTATAGAAATATTTGTGCATGAAAACCTTAGGCAATTTGAATTTCGATATTTATGGAAATCATTTTGTAGAAAGTTTCATTTTTTTTTTAATTAATTAAATCTGAAAAAATTAGCTTTGTAATAAATGTATTTAATTTGTTGCCTAGCTAAACGTCCTTAACACTATGAATGGCTCAGTAGTAGTAGTGGCTGGCTTAGTATATTATGATAGCGTAGTAATATAGTAAATTCATTCGCTGTTGTAATGGGTACAAGCAAAAAATAATAATAATTGTATAAATGTAATGTAAATCTATTCTAATAGCATTTAATTGATATTGTAAGGTTTTCTAGAGTGCTCGTAATAATAATTATTACTTTTTTTAGAAAAGCGCAATACCTCTTAAAACAAAGTTAAAATGCTATATGAACTTCAAATCAAATGGATATCATGTTGTACTTTTATTTAAAACTAAAGTGTTATGTACGGTAAATCTGATATTTTTATCTTTACGCTTCGTACGAAGAAGGCGTAAAGTAGCATTTGTAAAGGAATGTCGTCGAGTACCAAGCCCGCCACACCTTGGTAACGAGGCCAGCCAAGCTGCAGCATCCTTGAAAGGCCACATTCCAGCACCAAAGTCTATTTACGGTCTAAGACCTCATTTTCCCTTACCTATGAATGGTGCTTATCTATACGAATCATTACAAATGGTAGCGTTTTGTAACCCAACCCGTATTTTCGAAAATGCAAGACGGTCACTTGCATAACAATGAATGGGTTGATCGAACGGATTTCATTAGGTTGGGTAATTGTTTATTCTCTCTTTCTATTGTGTCCTAAAAGACACTATGTTGACACTACTGACAGCCTTTTACGTGACTACTGACGAATCGAAAGTGTTTTGTTCGGTTTTCTTGTTTGTAATGTCTCAATTACAAAATAGTTTCTGTAAATAAGTGGAGTGTGTTGACATTTGTCTTTCACATCTCACTCCTCAGTTACACTAAAACTAACGTTAACTATTTCATTATTTTTTGTTGTTTAGTAATATCTGATATTTTATTTTTATCATTTAAACAAGAAAAAAATATCTGTCTTCTTTTTTGGAAAGGCATATTTTATTGTTAATATATTATTGTTATTTAAATAAAGCATTTTTGCGAACGAAGTTTCTTATTGCGCGTTACACTCACTCTGAGCGGACGGGAGCGAGACCGAAAAATGTGTAAAAGACTTTTGCCGCCAACTCAGTCGGCGCGTCGACGCTCACATCTTTTTCATATGTCATATATATAGCAAACGTCTACCAAAAAGCGAAAGGAACTTGGTTCCGACCAGGGGTTTATAGACCCCTCACGCCGTTTTTTATTTCAATAAGGGTTATTTCACAAAAAATAAAATAGGTAGTATCTTATGTAATTATTTTCTTAATTCAAAATTACAAACTGTCTTATCTTACAAATAGAATTGAAATCATTTTTTGTTCCCTCCATAAATAGCAAGCAAACGTGAAAACTTTCAAAATGAACCCCTCATTTATGTATAATGGTGTGCAAACATGTTTACAATAATAATAAAATGATGCTTGTGTTGTTTCAGAACATCCTGGACAAATTCAATCCAGGTGCTCGACAGATGATAACGGCCGGAAAGGCCTACTTAAAGGCTTTACATGGTAAGTACTTTGTCACCTTTAACTTGTAAATCTGGACCATTGACACCGTAGACCCTCACCGAGCTAGGCAATTATTGTGGTATTTATCTAACGCGCATACCAGTATAAAGGTTTAGACCGCCATCTTCTAGAATCGCTGACTCATAAAAAATAACAAGAAAATTTTACTTACCTATTGATTGAATTCATTTAACGTATAATAAATACATCTTAAGTCTTATTAGAAATTTTATTGAGAGTGGTACTGAAAAAGTGTAAGAAAGTGAAATCTGCTTTGCTAAGTTTATAAATCTTTTGTGATGCGTATTCATTGAAGCGTATACAATTAATCTATGTAGTGTAAGCCAAATGGGCGCATCTATATGCAAAACCTTGGTGTTCCCCGCTTGCTTGGCTGCGGAACTGGGGCGTGGTTTGTGCCAAATTGTCTCTGTTGGCTTATCTAGAGTATTATAGCCGGCGCACTAGTTGCAATAAACTTGGGCATTCTCCGCGATGTATCGCTCTTGAGGCCTCTATGTACGTACTATATTTGGATGTTTTGCGGTTAATTTTGTTCTATCTTACGCGTTACGCGTTTATTGTCATTCGCTCCTTCAACTTTGTCCTCGTTCTTCCTTTTGTTGTTCAAACTTTGGCGTACAAGCGACAAAAATAAGAAACTTGCTGCAGAGATATGTGACTTGACTGAGATGTATCAATACACATTTTTTTTGTGTTTTTTCATATATAAGTATTATTGAAAGTTCTTCTTTCTGTACCACTAGGTAAATTGTTAAATTATGATCTAATATACCTATAACACCAACTAAAAACTTTTAGACTAGAACTAGAAATTTAGGCAGTACTATGATACACCTGAGACATAATAATCGATTCAGTAAATATCGTTGAGGAGCGAAGAGTACTTACTAGGATTTAGGTATTCTCTTTTCGATTACTGAAAGATTTTCTTTAAGATAAGAGTCCACGTACCCTGAAACCGTTATCGTTTACTACTATGTATTTAAGAGAAAGTGCTTTTGTTAATACTACCAAGGGTTTTTTAGTGAGATCTCTTCGGTACTAAACGGATAAGACCCAATTTAAAAGGTTATCTTACGATAGCAAAATCGGTGCTTAAGATATTCGTAATATTCCGCTACCTTGTTAATATTGATTGCCATTTCATCGTCATATGAATAATTCATAACAATCGACGGATTTGCTTTGAATTTATTGCACTTAAGTATCATTAATATTAAAATTTAATTCACCCTAATACTCGTCTGATTGGAAATTTCCTAAAATTACTTAATTTTTTATAGCACTTTACTTATTCAAGGAATTCAACGAACTCATTTTATGGAGGTCAGCATATTTTGACCAAAAAGGACAAAAATGTTGTTGGAACTTTACGGACAGTTTTAGGACACCAACTTTCGGTATTTAACCGTATTTGTTTAATTGACTTGTGCCAAATAACACCAGAACCAGCTTGCTTTAATTATTCTAATGAACTATAAGGGTTACGGTCTTTTTAGGTATCATCCTACATATTTGACCATGTCAATTACCAATGCAATTTTTATTATATTAACACAAATTGTTATTAGTATTAAATATCAGTTAAGTAAAATCTCGTACTAGTAAACTTTAATAATATAAAATAGCTGCCTAGTTGTTGTCACAGATCTATATTAATAGATACTACCTCTCGATTAAAAGATCATTAAATATATTGACTTTCAATTCTACCTCAAGCTCCAGCCAATGGGAGTGCGCCATGCTTCGGCACATATTATAAATGAATACCTCGGCCTCATAGAAGACCGGTGTTAAGCAAGTCTTTCGTTGCTTTTACCGAATGTGTACGGTTACCGGAGCCCAACTCTGATTCGATGGTAGTCTCTTACCATCAGGTGACCCGTCTCCTCGAGAGTTCCTTCACCTTAAAATTAGGAAATCATTATTTGTATATATGGTATCTTGGTACTGCGAGGCCTCTTTTAGGAAAACTCAGCTCGTTGTAGAGGGTCACCTGTCAAATTCAGTAATTCAGTCAACAGTCAGCTATCAAATATTATATCTTTTTTTTTTATATAAATCACGTATGTGTTACAGCTACGTTACTTGCCATCTGTATAAGTAAATCTAGATTGTTTTGTAGTAGTAAAACTAAGAGTAAGCCACAATTATCTTCTAAAAAAAATAGAAATAAAACCGAATTTCATTTCAAAACTATTCAAGGTCTTTAGAGGCCAGTAGATGATTGCCCAAAGTGATTGCTATATATCGCCAGCACCACCTCGACGCTCAACGTACCGCGTCACGCTCGTTTCTTTAAGAGCTTCGCACGCGACCTCGCTGTAAACGTGATGTTAATTGAGCCTCATAACCCCTCGCATCTCCCTGAACAAAGTAAGTCAGCTAATTCACGATTCAACCGTCTCTCATAGCAATGGATCTAATCATCGTACAGTGTCATCTAATCCTCTCCCCTCCGGACCTCGATATCGAGTAGACGTGTACCAAATTCACGGAGTTATTTATAATTTGATGATATTTAAATAAAATTAAATATAAAATATTGGCTGAAATAATAGAAGTGCATAAATAGTGAAGAGGTTGCTGTACGAGTGTTTGCACAGGGACCGCCCAGCCGCCCTCCATCGCCTGCGCAAGCTCCTGTGAGGTACCGCCCCTTCGGGTGAGAGAGACAAACATTTTTCATTCTAACGAAATATACAAAGTACCAGGCCAACAGAAACAACCAGCACTTTAATAACCACAGTAACTACGATATAGAAGCGTTAATCAAGCATAGCACATAACTGTTACAGTGGCGAAATATGCCAAACCAGTCACTTACAATTGTGCGGATCAAGTTCAAATCTCAGTGATCAATTCAGTTTTTGTCAACGTATTATAACATTTTTATCACTTAGTACCACTAGGAACAAAATTACTGCAACTAGTATTAAATTTTACAACGAATATTTAATATATCAATTTTAAAGAAGAACCATGCCGATTAACCGATCTCCACCTTCAACTTTACAATCGTCATCTGCATTGGCGTCGCCCATTCCTCCTAATAAAATCACAGTTACACAGGAATCCGACACTGCCTCTGACATAATGCAATCCGATATTGAGCAGGGATATTCCGGTAACTCAAGGAGACCAAAGCGTAAACACGGTGACTTAGCCACTGCCGAACTTAGAGAGCTCCTTTGTACAATACAGAGGAAGCAAGAAGCGGAATTCCTATGTATTAAACAGGACATGGGAACTATTAAGCAACAAAACGTTGAGACTCAGAAATCATTGGAATTCCTGTCAAACATGTATGATACCCTATTACAAAAATTTGAAACAGTCTCAAAAGAAAATTTATCGCATAAAAACCGCATAAATTCATTAGAATCAAAAGTAGATCAATTGGAACGGAGCCTTAAGTCGTCAAGCTTCGAAATACGTAATATCCCTATGGCTAAGTCAGAGACAAAACAGGACCTCAAATCTCATGTTTTGCACCTAGGCAAAGCAGTCGACCACCAGATTTCAGAGAGTGAAATTCGAGACATTTTCCGTATTAAAACTAAGAAGGAGCCAGGACCTATAGTGGTGGAATTTACTACAACCCTCCAAAAAGAAAATCTGATGAAATCCGTGATTAATTTCAATAAAATGAAGGCAAAGGACGAAAAGATCAATACTGGCCATCTCAAAATACAAGGAAACTGTTCACCGCTTTATGTGGCAGATAATCTAACTTCTAAAACTAGACGCCTGTTTTACTTAGCCCGGGAATTCACGAAATCTCACCACCAAGCCAACTGCTGGACTGCTTTCGGAAAAGTTTTTATCCGACTCAAAGAAGGACTTCCAGCTATACGCATACATTGCGAGGAAGACTTTACTAAGATAGGTTCACAGAAGTGACTAGAATATAAAATTACTTTTTTAAATTGGTATTACAATCATTTGAGATCTTTTTGCAAAAGTGACTCTGTTTATATTGACCCTTCTGGCACCTTAAGCTTTATTGTACCATATTGCTTTGTCGCAGTAACCAATTTACATATTCATATTAACCTCTTACAAATAACACTCACAAAAACTATGCATAAACTATTACACACATACTTAAACACAAATAAAGCATGCTTAATTCGTAAACAATATCTAATTAATATTAAATTACACTACACAAATGTACTTTTCAATCTACTTACTATAATAGTGGTAAAATTAATCTTGTCCTCATCACGAAGTTATATAATATGTTCATACACAGCCAATACTTGCCCCTTGGATTATAATATTAAATGTGCGACTGATTTCTTATACGTAGAATTCGCAAAGGTAATAAACATAATACTAAAATGTTCGATCTAAATAACACTCAGATTAACTACGAGTTAGATAGCTTATCATCAGCTGATAGTTTCACTTGTGATCTTGAAAATATTTGTACCAACATGCTCTATCCAACCAATTCATCTCTAAATATAATAATTCAGAATATTAGAAGTATTAATTGTAATATAACGCACTTCGAAACATTACTACATAGCACTAATATTCATTGGGATTTAATCATACTGACCGAATGTTGGCTACGCAATAACGACCGTATACCAGAGCTAGACGGCTATAAACACGCTTCTACAAAAAGCAATAAGACTCAAAATGAGGGTGTAGTGGTATACTCAAAATCTTCAAGTACTTACAATATATCAGAACCACATCTTGAGGATGCCAATTGCCTTATGATAAAAGTTAATAGCACCACTATTATTCTTGCAACATATCGTCGCCCTGGTCAAAAAAATATATCTATTTTTTTAGAATCATTAAATAATTTTCTAACCAATCTAGCATCATTTAAAAATATTATTATTACAGGAGACATAAACATTGATATTGCGAACACATCAAAAGACAGCTCACATGGTATGTTACCTGCCCATTGCATTCCAACCCATACTCATACATGTCTTGACCACGTCGTCCTTAAGACCAAATTTTCTGCAAAATGTTTTGTTGCCCATACGACTATAACTGATCACTACAGCGTCATACTTAGTCTAGAGATGCTATCCAGAAATTATAGAAATATGAGAGATATCAAAAGAGTGGATTACAACTGTCTTGACAAAGCCCTCAATAAGATAGATCTAAGTCCAATATTAACAATGAGCGACGTTAATGAGACTGTTGACTTTCTTATTTCCACCTTAAGTAAAGAGTTGGAAATTTGCACTAAACTCACGCGCACTCCTAAACGGCAACATATCTTAAAACCTTGGATTACAAAGGGAATATTAAGATGTATAAGAAATAGGGACAAACTATATCAGAAGACAAAAAAAGATCCGAGAAACGAAATTCATAAGCTGACCTACACAAGATATCGCAATTTCACTAATTCACTAATCAAAAATGCTAAAAGAGAATATGAGAAGTCAGAAATCAATAACGCTAAAAACAATACTAAGCAACTTTGGAAAGTAATTAAAAATATTGCATATACTAATCAAACTAGAATTCCAGCATTGGACTTGATAACCAACAATAACCCTATAGAATCAGCTAACTCAGTAAATAGATATTTTACAAGTATTGGAAAGATCATAGGAAGGAACATGCAGATGACTAATTTACCAAATGTTTATGAGCCCTATCATCCCGTGGCTCAATCGCAGTCATTTGTGCTTCGTCCCACAGATACTCATGAAGTGGACTTGATTATATCTAAACTGAAGAATGATTGTGCTATTGGCCTAGATGGTATTTCCAATAACTTCATTAAAAGATATAAAAGTATTTTAGTTGAACCACTGGTGTATATATGTAATCTGGTATTCTCATCCGGCATCTTTCCTAAGGCATTCAAACGAGCACTTGTACATCCTATTCATAAAAGTGGCGACAGAGACTGCGTAAATAATTATAGACCTATTTGCATTCTCCCTGCCTTCTCGAAGATCTTTGAAAAAATTGTCAACGATAGACTTGTTAACTACTTAGAAGCAAAACAGTTACTCTCGAATTCACAATTTGGCTTTCGCAGGAACAGGTCTACCGATGACGCGGTGCATGAGCTTACAAACCATGTAGTTTCTAATATGGACGAAAAGAAAAAAGTACTAGCCATATTTTTAGATTTAGCCAAGGCATTTGACACGGTCTCTGTCCCACTACTGCTCAATAAACTGGAACGGATGGGTGTTCGTGGCATGCAACTGCAGCTTTTCGCAAGCTACCTCACCGATCGCTCACAGTGTGTTCAAATTGATAGTATACGTAGTCATGATCTCCCTATAGAAATAGGCGTGCCCCAAGGCAGTATCCTCGGACCGACCTTGTTCCTAGTTTTTATTAATGACCTTTGCCAAATAGATATGCCTAACACTGGAAAAATAATCACTTTTGCAGACGACACCGTTCTGATTTTTCAAGGCGATTCCTGGAAGGATACGTATCAGAATGCTCAAGAGGGCATGAATCGAGTCACATATTGGCTTAACTGCAATTTGCTATCGTTGAACGTCGATAAGACTAAATACGTAACATTTCAACTAAAAAATAAAAAACTACATTTTGAAACACCTCAGCCCATCATTGCACATCTATGTCATAATCGAGATGTAATTCCAGTCCCATGTACCTGTAAAGAACTAAAACTGGTTGATACAATTAAATATCTAGGAATCATTATTGATAAAAACCTAAACTTCGAAGCTCACATAAATGTATTGACTTCCAGAACAAGGAAACTAATTTTCATTTTTAAAAACTTGAGACGAGTGTGTGATAAAAAGATCCTTAAAATAATATATCTCGCCTTATGTCAATCAATACTGATGTATTGCATCACATCCTGGGGAGGTGCAGCCAAAACCATTTTGATCAAATTGGAACGTGCACAAAGGGCAGTCTTAAAGGTAGCACTTTACCTACCTTTTTTGTATCCCACAAGAGACTTATACCAAAGGTTTGATGTCCTTACAATTCGGCAACTTTTTATTTTTCGTCTTATTCTTAAGTCTCACTCATCAACTATCTATGATCCCCTAATTGTTGCAGAAAAACGTCGAAAACATAAAATCTTTCAAGCTGACATAATCCATAAAACCACTTTATCTCATAGGTTCTATTGTTTTTTGGGCCGATACCTATATAATAAAATTAATGCTATCCTTTGCATATACTCCTGTAATAAATATAAGTTAAAAACAGTATTAACAACATGGCTACAAAACCTAACCTATGATGATACAGAAAGCCTACTTGTGCCACTAAGTTAAACATGTCTATTTATTTATTGATTATAGTTTGAATTATACAAATACATAACATGCACTAGCATAATCATGTACACATACACAAACAAACACATACCCACTTACAGACACACACATACACGTATACTCGCAAGCAAACCCACACTCACACTCACACACACGCACACACACACACACACATCTCTTTTTGCTATTTTTTATTGCTTTTCTCTTGTTTGTCTACTTATACTAGTATAATGTATTACAAACTAGTACATGCTAAAGAAATATAACTATGTTCCGTCCAGAAGGTGTGAGCCTGGTGAGCTGTAACACAGGTTTTACCTACCGCAGACACCAGTCTCTCACAAAGCAATGTTGTACCCAATCTGACTGATCTGTATTTATAAGTTCTTTGTGATGAGAGAAATAAATAAATATTATTATTATTATTATAGTGTGTATACTCTAAGAATATTAGAAAACATGATAAAGGAAAATGACTAATCATCCAATGAGTAACTATTGCACTGAGCGTGATATGTCAAAAACGTTTGTGATAATATCTGATATTCAATTGTATATGCATCTTTGCTTTAGCTGATAATTAGATGCTGTAAACATAATTTATAAATGAGATTAAATTTTAATAATGGTAATCATGTGAATGACTGTTGATGCCTTAATTAAATTTACCCAAAAATAGATTTTGACATAAGTGCTTCATAAATTACTTTATTATATAATGTATATTATATATATAAATTAGTATATAATATATAACACATATTATGTAATACGTCTTTAAATAAAAAGACAACACTAGGATGAATAAAGTAAGCAATACTGATTCGGATTAACTTATTTTTACTTTTTCATTCTATATTAATTCTCCTTAGATTTCACAAAAAGCAATTCATTTACCTAATTTACCACATTGACGTTTTGTACCGACGAGATGCAGTAGACATTAGAGCCAACAAAGTTTTATTAAAGGAAATACCAATTGAAATACGTATCTTTATACCGTAATTAAATAGTAATTGTTGAGTATTACTTACGCAATTCTCATGTCGTTAACCTACATCACAGTCATTTATTTTACGTCATCTAAAAATACTAAACAATATTTTTTAATGCATGCAAAATTTGTTTACGTAATTGAAGAAGAATAAAAATGACTGGTAATACATCTGAATTATTTTTTAATTATTAGGTACTTTCACTGCTTTAGAAATTAGAAATTGAGTTACACTGGAAGTTTTTATTGAACTGACTTCAAATAAGAGGAGCGTCTCAGTTCCTCGATTTCTTTTTGTTTTAGTTACCTGACTACGCAAAAATAGGAAAAAAAATTGGTCCGTTTTGGCAAATTATTTTTTGTTCTGTAGGATTTATCTTCTTAATTTGACCAATTAAGAAGAATGCTTGATCCCATTCTTTTAACGTGTGTTTTGAGCGATATAACTTTATTCATTATAAATTGACTTCAATAATTATAGCTTAAGCTTAGCTTAAATATTCGACACCTACGAGTTCAAATTAAGTTATGATTTATACTCAGTGAATTCGGTGATTCTTAAACATTTATTTTATATTAAATTTATAAGCGAAGATATCGTTCTTCACATATACATATATCTATAAACTTACATAGGCATGTAAACCAAGAACATTATCGACAAAAAAGATTTGTGTAGTGCAAAGAATTATTTTCTTAAGGAAACATTCAGTTTTTTCAGAAAATAAAAAAATATTTAGAATTTAAAACCAGCCCAGCCAACCAACCATTTAAAGCAAAATTTAAGACTGAAGTTTGTGTGCAGGATAAGTGCAGTAAACGAAATCTTTTTTAATAAGGCTACGGATATTCAACCATGGCAACTCTACACAATAAGTTCGACTAATACTGAAATAAGAGTGCTGAAAAATATTTTAAATACATGATATCTATAGTTAGTTATGGATTCCGAAACGTTTACCACAGACACGTAGTATACTAGCATAAAGGAATAGAGGTAGTATTCTGAAAATAAAATATTCCCTATAACGAAAACTCCAGAGCTTGTTTCCAGGTTAACATCATTGACGCCCTTATGTAACAACATGAAATATAAGGGGGATAAAAGTAATTTGTTTCCATTGTTTACCCAGGAGCGGCGGCGGCTTCCCGGCTCTACGTCGATGCTGTAGGCAAACTCGGCAGACAAGCGCAGCAAGGCACGTGGGGAGGATGCGCCGATATAGGTACCGAAAATAGACATATATTTAGATGAGTAACAGGACTTAATATATTTTGAGTTAATCATGTTCCTAACAATCCTTGAGAAAGTGCACAGTAGTTCATGCTTTTATTATCATTTTCAAGACCCGTGTTCTTACTTTTACAAAGGCAATCGATCATTCTATTTTCAATTGACTAACAGCATGAAATATTGCAATAATATCATATGAGATTTTCATCACTTTTCAATTTCTTTCTCAAAACTTTACATAGTTATCAGGCTCCAAACTCCATCGTTGTTACCTGTAGATATTAGATGCTTATTGTAACAAATATCTCTTATCTCAGGTAGTTATATAAAACGAGATCTCGTTGTTCTCTAAGAAAATAGGTTTGATAGTCGTGAACAGAATTCAAATAAGGAAATTAACAGTAAAAGTATTATAAATTTTTATTTCAGGGACCGCTCTAATGAAAGTTGTGGAGGTATACCGAGAGATTCAAGATCAACAAATGAACATCGTAAGTTCTATCTATAAGGAAAACTTACGGGCAGGATAATATTGTTTCAATGTTTGTTTCAATACAGTTTGAATATAAACAGTTAAAGGGAAACCGATACTATAATTAATTATGAAATTGATTTCGAATCTTATAAAAATATGCTTAAAAAACCTTTGTATTGCAATGGTAGTGCCATGTAGATACTGGCGAAAATGGCCTTTAGTCTTTTTTTTTCTTGACGGGCTTAAAAATCTCTTGGTAACTCTTCCTCCTGGTGGACGCAGCAGCCAGGAGTATTCCACTAAAAACCACCCCGACGGTCCCCGGAAGGACCCATACGATGTGATTTCAGGTCCCCCCTGTGTTGACGCCGCACATTTCTAAGCCAAATGTTCTTTAGGTCTACGATCGAAATTTAAAATCACTTAAGTTCTAACAGCAAGTTTAAGAAGATATTAATACTCGCCAACTGAAATTGCTGAGTGCGCACGATATAATTAAATGTTAACATTACTACCGATTGTTACCAAGTGACCGTCTGCAATAATATACAACTTACTTGTTTGTTTTAGTTAAAGGCGTTTTATGTCGATCTCCTGGTCCCCTTGGAAACTAATCTGGAGAAGGATACAAAAGTAGTACAGGTTAGTCAATAACGGTTTTTCCTTCATAATCTTTTATGTTGATAGTTCCAACATAGAATTGTTTACAGGATAAAAGGAAAAGGTTCCACGTTCAAATAGGCTTAGTATCGGACTCACAAGATAAGAGTTTCTATTAAAAAAGTTTTTCGGCAATGGGAGCGGCCCGTATTTCTTTCTATAAATATAGTAGTTTGTTTGTTGAACACTAATGATCTTATCCAAAATGTTCAAAGAACCGCTACTAAATACTTTACATTTGATTTTGTCGTATTTCATGCGGGGACAAAAGGATATGATCCAACATTGTTACTTTTGCAAGTGAGCTTTTTCCAAGAAATTGAAATACTATGAAAGTGGTTTTACTCGCAGCTTAATATAACTCATCATAAGTTACGAAAAAAATAACTTATACATTTTTAAAGTATTAAACAATATAAAACACCACACCCTTTGTCGTAGCTGTTACTTTTACGCCAAATGAAGTTCATACATACAAGGTAACGGTTGAAAATTTAATGACCGGTTTATATTGAATAGTATTGTTTGTTACAGTCGGAACAAAAAAGATTCCTGCAACAACACAAACTGCGATCAGAGAGCTACAGCAAAGCTGCTGCGACAATAAAGAAACAACGCAAAAAGAAACCGAATGTTACCAAAGTTGGATCAGCTATGGATAAAGAGATGAAGGTATTTTAAGTTTTTCTTACAGCTTAACACCCCATCGATACATAAAAACTTTTATCTTCAAACTAAGTGAGTTTCACTTATATATGACAACGTTCGAAACAATATTCTTAACTGAAATTATTAACGTGTGATAATGGTTTTGATATTTGAGATTGTGAATAAAATAAGGAACGAAGAAAAAAAAGTTGAGAAACGTAAAACATCACCTCCTCCTCGCTCTACAGAGCTCAATAGCCTCTATAAAGCTGAAAAACAACTATAAAACTAGTAGCGTATTTAATCGCGGCCTTTCTTAGTTTAGAAGTGAGAAAGTTATAGTTAGTACAACAAAACAACAAGATAATGTTATTAAAATTAGAATGCTGTCAAAAGACAGAGTCAACAAACTTCTTTACTTTATTTTAATGGAAAAACTGTAGTATATTTTAAATAAAAACCAAGCCATTAAATGCTATCAATCTTTTATAACAGTTGTTACACAGAGAAAAAAGATTAATGAACAGACACTTCTTCGTAGTGACCTCATGAACATGTCACATTAACCTAGATAGTTCAAGAATTATGAGTCAAAATTATTTCCTGAAGTATCCTAATAACCTCACAAATAACTTGCTAGTTAGGCACTTGCGAATTATATCAGCTAATGCAAAATGCGTGATAAGGTTCTTAAACGCTTAATAAAAATGAGCTGCTTTCTAACTTTCTTCAAACCTCACAAAGTTTTAATATTAATATTCTTATTTGTTATTACATAGTGTAGCTTTACAGATTTCTTTTTTTTACATATTTTTACCCGTCAACTTTAATAATTATTATACATACGCCCAAATCTAAACTTCTTTTACTTTTTAGTTCCTATTTCAATCATATATCTTGTATCTTGACGACGTGGTTCATTCATTCCGCATCCAACGAAGAGCGACTCGAATCGTCGATAGCCCAAACATCTCAAATCGGAGCTATCCCTTGGCGTTACGTAGAAATATGGCTTCATTCTGCATTTTCTATCGCATATATGATGTAGAGTGCTCCGAGGATTTTGTTCAGACTAATACCAGCCGCAACATTCCGCCATCGTTGCACATGGCAAAATTTTCATCCTCATCACCCGGATGACACCTTTTTCCCGCACAGCCAATCTGTGGAACGGGTTTTTCCGGACCGATACGACCTTCAAGAAAAGAGGGTACTCCTTCCTAAAAGGCCGGCAACGCGTTTGTGACTCCTCAGTTGCAAACGTTCATGGGCGGCGATGGTCACCTTCCATCAGGTGACCCGTCTCCTCGTCTGCGCAATTGACACTTCCATATATATATTTGAATACATATGATGAAATTTGTTCATTGGCATTATCTTCTTCTTTTTTAATTGATCTGTGCGCTATCGAATTCAAGTGCTTTCGCATTTTTTTAAATCTGCCCTACAATTCACTTATAATCTCAAGATACTCGTACTCGAACTAAAACAACGGTTTCACAAAAAAAAATACCCATATCCTATCGAATAAATTGGATATAGGTATATTTACGGGGGCCTTGGTAACAAATTGTTTTAATTTTAAGTAATGTGTTTAATTTAAAATGAAATTGTTAGTTATAACATTTGATTGGTACAAACAAATCTGTACTGCGATAATACTTAAAAATGTAAAACGTATTCATAAGCGAGTTTAGTTTATTCCATTTGTATTCGTATTAGAATCATACATAGCGATTGATTTAAATTCAGAGCATATTCTTATTCAATGCTAATAAGAAACTAGATTGAATGTATTATTCAATATGTAGCATGGAGCCTAGACAAATATAACTATAAATTTTCGAGACGAGTACTTCTAGAACATATTTTCACGTAATGGCTAGTAAATAATGGAACACATAAATAGAGATATCAATAAATAGAAGTTATTACTTATAAATTTCCTTTAGTCATAACTAGAGCTTATTTACTGTAGTTGTTTATTTAATACGCGTAACTTGTTTATTTAATACGCGTAACTTGTTTATTTAATATTTGTACCTTGTATATGTTTTTATTATTTTTATATTATATAGGTATGTTTAATAGCCGCCGAAATTATTATTGTTTTTTTTTTTATTTTGTGAACATCTTGAGAATATAAAGTTTCCTACATAGCCTATTCTGTTATCTGTACAATCGATAAAAAAACGACACAAATCTCCTTTTTCTAAAGTATTACTTGAGTTCAAAACAAAAGCAAAATTTAAACCTAATCTCAGCAAAATAAAATGAAAATTCAATATAGAGTTACATGCATTTCTTTTTAATTTGAAATTCTTGTTACGTCTCACTCCGTTAAAAGCAAAAGGAAAATTTTCGTTATAAACAGGCGCAATAATTGGAAATTCTAGCAAAGCAAGACTTGATAAAACGATAACATTACAAAGAATAGCTTCGTCGACTCGCTGAATGTTTTCTAATGCTTATTTAATATTTACAGAATATGCAAATACTGGAGGAAGAAAAAACTAAATTGGATGCGTTTTGTGAACAAAGCTTAAAGAATGTAAGTTATACTAATTATATCTCAATACTGAAAATAATATTTTTTAAGTTAAAAGTAAAGACTCAAGTGATAGACGACAAAGTAAAACAAGAAAAAGCTTAACCATAATTAATTTCTAGATATTGCAATAAAAGAAATGCCTATGAAATAGGCGAATCATCATCTTAATTTCTTTTTCCCAATTTTATTTTATATCGACGTTATGTGTAACCTTGTAAAGGGTTCCGTCTGACTTACTTTGTGGCCTGACATTTACCTGATCCCCATCCTCCTGGGAAATATAACCTTTCTTAGGGAAAAGGTACATTGGGGTAAGAAAATCAGGTAGAGTAAGGTAACAGATATGGTGAGAAACAAAGTCAGTGCGAAGCTGATAAGGAAGTGCTGGGTTTGTGTGTAGCTTTTATTTAGGATGACGTTAAAGAGACAACATCCTTCTAAAACGACAATAGTTTAAGAAAATTGTCAGTCATCTAAATATTTTATTTTACCAGGCGATGACTCAAGAGCGCCGTCGTTATGGCTTTGTCCTTGAACGACAATGTTCACTTGCAAAACACTGGCTAGCTTACCATGCCGCTGGAGCCGCTTCATACAACGCAGGACTAGACGAATGGCTTGAAGTGTCCCGAACAAGGGAGTACCTGCCGCCCAATGTTGAAGCTATGTTCGTTAGCAGGATGAGGGTAAGCAGAAAATATAAATTACCTATCCATAAAAAGTTAAATGATCTCAAAAATGCAGCAAAAAGATAAATACACATTAGAAGGTATTTGTGTTCATACAAATTGCTGGCTTAGGTTAAAAAAATATATCTTATTCTATATATATTATACATATTCAAATCAGCGACTACTTTATGTAAGTGATTGAAATAAAAGGAAATGGACACTAGTTAAATTACAGTTTACGCAGTGTTGTTTCTTAAATATCTCAGATGTCATCTAATACTAAAATCACTTGAAAGACTCAACTCCCAAAACCTGTCGAAAATTAAAGTATAAAAAACTTTTTTATTTTTATCTCCTTGCAAAGCGCTAAAATATCTTAACAAAATTGTTTATTAATGTGATAGGACGTGACACAATCTTCGAGGTTGAACCCTCGGATATATCTTAACAGCTGTAACGAAGAATTTTTAAACAAAAACTTCAATTAAACTTTTCACAACTTTGACAATACACAAAAACATAATACGAGTATTAAGTAACTGAGATAGATTGGATACAAAAAGCACCTTACCGAGTACTTGTGACTATGTACAGCAACGAACTACTGTAGCCAAGAAAAAATATTGTTTAATTTTCTCTTAAGTAAAAAAAAATGTCTAAAACTTTGTATTTTTTGGTGTTTTAATTTAATTCTAAAACACACTAACATGTGTTATAGTACAATGTAACCTGACTAAGGAATATGACAAAAGACAACTGAAGACCCCAGCTTTATCCTTAGAATCGTCACTAACCGCAATGTTATGTACAAACGTGCTACTCTAAAGATAATCTGATTTTCTCTTAATTCGTGCTCACTTCTATTCAGAAACGAAGTAATTAATATAAAGATAACTATTCAAATAATAATAAATAAGTGAAATATAGTACATGTTATTCACATCCAATGGGGATATAAAATTGGTATAACTGACATAAAACCATTTAATGACCTCTTATTAGTTATGGCCCGATTAAATGGACGTGTACTGTCGAAATAACCCCGGAAAAGTAAACTGTAAAATTACATAATGGTCGTATAACAATTGTCGTTTACTGTATCTTTAACAAATAAAGATTTAATGGTCAATTTATTCGATTTCAAACAGCCATAAACCCTGTACTGATTCTAAATAGCCTTGAAGTTAAGCTTTATCTCTATTATCTAAGTGTAGGATGTTATTCTTAATGTTTGTTAAGCCGAGCTTGCTATAATACTAATTTTATATAATTGTGACAATGAACCTGATTAGAGATTTCAGTTTCAATATCCTTATCCTTATTAGTTTCTCGAATCTACAAAATTTCAAAATAAGAAATTATGTAATCATGATAATCAATTTGTATTCTGTTTTTTCTCATAGCAAGTAACATTCTGGCCTGACGAAGACGTATACGCTAGTCCACGCGTTGGTGATGACGATGATCGCGCATCGGTTGGTTCAGCCTTGCGTAAAACCCGATCAGTAGATGCATCATGTCTTGACGTAAGATCTATTGGAGACTTGGGATCACCAGCTCAGGGACTTTCGAGAGCCAAATCTGATTTTAATCTGCAGGCCAGCTCAAACAACGAAGACCAAGGTAAGCGATGTCTTCAAGCGAAAGCTAACACAATACTATAATATAATAACAAATTAGGAGAAGAAATAACTTAGTAGTTTTACAACATGATATCTTCCTGCAGTGACAGACTCACGTACAGCTACTCGACCATCATCATTAGCTCCACCGACTTGTACGTCTCGAGACCCGCCACTGGCCCGCGCACTATATGCCTATGCGGCTGCTGGAGACAACCAACTGAGCTTCCAACAAGGGGACATACTTGCACTCCTTGGAGAGAGGACTAAGGGATGGCAGTATGGAGAGAATTTGCGCACTCACCACGCTGGATGGTTCCCTCTCGCTTATACTGAGCCTGTCGCAAATGATGAAGCTGGGTACGTATACCGTACTTACTTGAAGTTACTTAGTTCTACTCGTTCTTTGAAAGTGTACACAAGAATCTACTGACAGGCACCAGTAGCCGCGATACTATTTTTTGATTTCAATTAGATATATAGCTTAATGGGAACTTGTTTTCAGTACCTCGCCAGCTCGTTGGAGTTGTGTGCAAACTCCGAGTGAAGCACCACCACCAGCGCCCATAGCGCATGCGCAAACCACACCGTCGCCTTCAGTTCACACTCACTCGCATCCACCTCCTCGCATGTTTGGCGATACTGTCACCGCACATCATGTTACTAAGGTAAAAAAAGTTTAAATAACCTTAATATGCATAATATTTACTTAATTTCAGCCTTATGAATATTGAAACAATGTTTAGGAATATAATTCATAACAATAAAAGCTTGTATCAACTAAAGTCAGAAATAATAAAAATGATAATAGCTTCACACATCTCACACAGGGCCGTCTGGTTCCCTACTGGGGGCGAGCCTATGCTATGATAACCAGATTACTGATAAACATACTTATATATTCTAAATTACACCCAGACCTAGACCAAATCATAGTGCTCATCACATCATTATTTGTCCTGGGTGGGAATCGAACCTACGACCTCCGGTACTGGTAAAATGTTTATACTCATCTTTAGAAAGGTCATCTCTATATGAAACATGCATAAAAAATATTAACATAGACAAATTTTACAAAACATTCTAGCTTTGCTTTTACTAATGCAACTAAATAATTTACTAGGGTCGCCTCGGATCGGGCTCTCCAGGCTTACCACCAACTTTGCCAGCTCCATCACCCAGCGCCCTTAGCTCTTCAGCGAGTGCCACATTCCATACTTCTAATACAAATGCAACGGCTAGTAGCGCAATTAAGAACTCTACATCTTCAGCGAGTTTCACTACTCACGCTGTTATTGAAACCAGAAGCTTTGGACCTCAAACTCTGCCTATGCGTGGACAGGTAACAAAATGCAGAAAATAAACAATACATATATAGAAATATACATATATATACATATATAGAAAATATACAAACAAATAACAACAATTAATTTATTTCAATAATATACATTACTGATTTTCTTTTATATCATCACTATATAACTACAGATCCTTAACTATCAATATGCATAATCCTATTCTTCAAGTAACATGTAAGTAAAAAACATTACTATTCAACAGTGACAATTATTGTAATGTAACTTTACCTAAAGCAGTGATCACTATTTTAGTCTGTGGTTGGTCTATATTATATCTAACTGGCTTTTGCTTGCATTAATATAAATTTTCTGAAATGATTTTAGTATTCATCAGAATCAGTATTTTTTTGAATGAAAAATACTGTATGCGTAAGATACCAAAAAAATCACTTTCACATTATGACAACGGTAGTTATAATATTATGGTATTTTAAACCAATTTGTATTATGCAGGTAGCTCAGAATAAAGCTGGACCAGCCAAAACTGCAGTGTCCGCTGTTGGTGCAGTAGGAAATGTTTCACTGCACAGCTCAAATGATTCAGGATTCTCCAATGAACCTCCACCACAACCTGATGTCGATTACAGTGACGAGGAAGCCCAAAGACTACGTGTACCAATTAGGTATTGTAAAACAATCCATATTTTTATTTTTCATTTATTACTCCTTGTATCCCTGACTTATTTGTTGCTCTTTGTGTAGTACGCTAGCTTCATTTTTATTTTCATTTTTTTCTTTTATTTATTTTGTAGTAAATCTGGTCTACATGCCAACGACAATAAGGCTTACTTACTTAAAACTCAAAGTTTGAAACGCGGTCCCAAACCACACAATACTGCTAATGGATACCTAACTGACGATCAGCAGTTAATGCTACGTAGCATGCTTGATATGGATAAAGACTCTCAAAAAGTTAAAAGAACAAAATCTTTTTGGAAATTCGGACGCACTACTGCAGAAGAAATCATGGAAGGTATGTCCCTCTGGCAACATCGTGATATAGTGGATACTGTACCCGAGTACAAAAAAAGACTCTTTGAAAAGATGAAAAAAGAATTGAGACCAGCTCCTGAAATTCCCGAAGTGCGGCAGCTAGTCACGCCGGATAAAATGATTGCTTCTGAAAACGGCTTACCTTCTCGTCCAAAGGAAACAATTGATAGAAAAGAAATAAAAGTTAACGGTATACGCCAAGCTAAGAGTTTGGGATCCATCCAAAATGAGGAAAGAAATGAAAAAAGTCGCAAAGCAATAGAGAACTCACAACACACTCAAGTAATTAACAAGAAAAGTATGTCTCAACAATCAATTATCGAAGAGAAACAAGAAGACTTTTCGTCCCGAAACGAATCCAGACATTCTGATTTAACAAACACAAGTACAATAAAGACAAATTTTGAAAACAGCTTTTATAATGATGAAAATGGGGACGGATTTGTGATGAAAACTGTAAAGCGGAGAGAGATATTACAGAAGTATGATAATGATAGTAGCTCTGATGTCAATTCTGTGGCTTCAAGTACTGATCCGTACGACTGTATAATAGTAGATGATCACATGGCATCAAGGAAACAACAAGAATCAGACAGGCGTCGCCAACCTCAAATGATAGACGAAGAAGTTAAAAAACGTAAAGAAAACGCTTATATGCCAGAGTTTGAGGAAATTGAAGTAACTCCTATCAAACCACATGTCCGTGCTACACTGTCTTCGGAAAAGACAAAATCTTCATCCCATGAACGTAGTCCGCCAAAAACAATGGAATTTAAAACGTTCAAAGATAACTCAAAAGAAATCAAAACATTTACAGCGTCTTCTGAAACACTAAAATACAAAGATAATGAACCGCATACTGATCGGTATGGTATCCCTATTGAGCGAAACAATAATGAAACGCGCAATGAAGAAATATATAATGGACATGACGAAGGAACTTTAAAATACAAAAAACGACCTAGCAATGAAGAGAAAAACCATCTACCACAAAACAACTTTGAAAATGGAAAAAATCATAAAAAAGAATACCCGCAAGCGGAAGTAAGAAATTCAAAGAAAGATGGTAGATCCTTTGAACAGAATCGTGAACCAAGAATTGATTACTCACTAGACAGACGGCAGATGAGAAAAGAATTCACTGATACAAAGACCAAGGATACAAGACGAAGCAGGGCTAATAGAAGTTATGATGATAGCTCATTACCGCACAATGGGCGTAGAGAAGAAAGATATTATGAGTCTAATATATCGTACTTCAGCGATCAGGAAAGACGAACATCTCGATATGACTACGAAACTGATTCAAAGAAGGCAGAGAAGTCTAAAATTCGACAAGAAGAGGCTAGGCTCGAGGCCAGACGTTTTATTGATCGTCGAAGTGAAGGACCTTACAGTGAATCTGATGATCAAAAGTTTAATGAAGCCTTAAAACAACAAAGGCCACAGCTACTTCCACGCACTAAATTATTGAAGAGGCCTGCAGACGGAAACGACTTGCCAGAAGAAGGCCATACATTCGGTCCGTGGTATGACCTATGGGGGCGGGAAACAGCAGTCTACAAATAATAGAAATAAGGTTTGTTAATACTTATTAGTAAGTAAAAGTATAGTTGATATAACTGTTACTTTAGCATAAATTATATTTTTGTTTGCTGCTTTGTCTGTTAGTAAATGCGATTTATATTTCAGAACAGTATAAATTGAACATTACAAATATTGTATTATAATTTAGGTACTTCATTTAAATAATCTTTTAATAATTGTCAAAAGTTTATTTTAAAAATTACAAATAATGAATTAAAGTATAGAACACTACTTTAAAAAAAATTGTATAAAACATTAAGAGGCCATAAAAATCTTTGTAAAATTTTAAAGAGGTGAACATAGTAAATTTTTCTAAATTAAGTTATAATATAGGTAAATTTACTATGTAAAAAAGGAGTAGTGCAATATTTCCAATTAAATTAATGGTGATTTCTTTAACAGGCCTCAACAATTTGCAACAGTGAAGTTAAGGAAAGCACTAACCAACGATCGTTCATCGCCGGCCATTGAGTAATGTTTTATATACATACGTATGATATAATATGATTATATTATTTTGTTAATTAATATTAATTGTAAATTAGAAACACCATGTATTTTGTACAGTTAAATATTCATAGTCTAACAAAGAAATATATCACAATTTTTTACAATAATCTAAAAGTTGGTTTTAGTTATATCCGTATGTATGCTGTATATGAACTATAGCGGATGAAATGAATTATGATAATTATAATTAAATTACTTACAAAAAATAAAAAACTAAACAAAACCAAAATATAAAGTAATAAACTGTCGTGTGTAAAATATAATACATGTTAAGGCTATTAAGGCTATTATGATAAGGCTATTAAGACACATTTTAAATAGAACATTGAATCTTAACGCTCCCAAAAGTAAAAAGATTAACTTTTTCAATATTAAGAGAAAAAAAAATGGGAAATGATCGCGAATTCGCGATTGATACATGTTACATCGATCGATTTTTTCATTTATGGCTATGGCTAGGCTATGGCTGATTTTTATATTATATGCGCATTATAAAAATGCACTAACGATCAATTTGACAGAAACTCAAGTCTAATAAGCATACGAGTACATATGATTTGTAATGCGGGCACCAAATAATTGAGCACACGACAACCTTACTAAAATAAATCTTACACGCGGCTTCCAAACACTATCCAATACCTTTGAACGCCTTTCACACACCCTAAATCTAGTTGTTCTATTTGAAAATTTTATTCTCCTAAGAGAGATTTTTTCTATGTACCATTCTATCATCTTCTGATGATCGTCTAATTTGATAACATTTAAATGGTAAGAAGATTTGTCAAAGTGGGCGTGGGCATTTATTTTTCCAAATAGGGAAATCTTTTTGATATCACCACTGATGAGCCACTGCCATTCCATCGCCACTGTAAAGACACTGAGTTAGTGTAGACTACCGATATTTATACCGATGCCAATGGCCACTCGATGGCATCTTAATAGCGTGTCAGTCGTATGACAGTGGTTTGGCGTGAACATAAAATAGCAGAATTGAGGCCCTGATGGAATGTGAGTGCTACAACTAACTTTACTTAAAACTTACTTTTCACTCTAACGATTTTAATTCACCTAGATATAATTATATACAACAAAATAAATTTTAATTAAAAAAATATATTATATGTATGTTTGGAGGAAAACAGAAATTTGAAAAGTAATCAGACGCGTGTCAGCCGCTTCAGTTTCAAGTGCGACCGCTATAAACTAAATATTAACACATCTAGGTCTCGTACTAAGTCTGCTTAAACTCATAGCTTTGTTGGGAGCTTATTTTATGGTATAGGGGGAAACGGCAGACGGCTCACCTGATAGTAAGTCACTGCCACGGCTGTTGGTGCGCTGCTACTCAAGAGTCACAAGTGCAACAAATCATCACCTGCCTACCCTTTTCCCAATTTTATTTGGGGTCGGCGCAGTATGTATGATTTTTCCATTCTACTCTGTCATGCGTCATCTCACTGTTTACTCCCTTCCTAGCCATATCCTCCCTGACGCAGACCATCCACCTCTTCTTCGGTCTGCCTCTTCTCTTGTACCCTTCAACTCTCATACCTAAAACTTTCTTCGCCACATTTTCCTCATTCCTCCGCATGACATGTCCATACCAAGATAACCTATTACTTCTTAACTTTTCATCCAGTGGCGCTACTTTCAGACTCCCTCGTATATACTCATTCCTAACCTTGTCCATCGGAGTCACACCACACATCCATCTCAGCATTCGCATTTCGGCTACGTTCAGGCGTCTCTCATCCGTTCTCTTAATGGGCCAACTTTCCGAGCCATACAGGACGGCAGGTCTGATAATAGTTTTATAAATTTGTCCCTTCAGTGTTAAGGGGAAACTGTGGTCACAAGTTGTTCCCGTTACCTGCCGCCACTTCATCCATCCCGTATTGATTCGATGCTGTACGGTTCGATCAATCTCACCATCACATTGTAGGAGCTTAAAAAAATTAGAGCCTAATTATGGCAGCATAAGGATCGTCTGTAAAAAAACATCGTGGCAAAGAGACGTTGAAAGTTAAGTATGTCAAAAGGGAGAGGTATAAACAGTGTGGCTGAACTTTCTCACTTGGTAAAAGCCAAGCCAAATGCAAAACTGACTTGCCATCTTCAATAAGTGGAGTAGATGGGCAAAAGTGGTAGTTATTTATAGGTTTTTTTGTCTTATAAAATATAGTATAAGTAAATTGACTTTTGTATTGAGTATTCAGTAAGCTCCAAAATACATTAATATAATCTAATCGAATCACACTCGTTCATGTCGCAAAAGAAAAATCTACTTCAATTGGCCTCACGTGACAATGACCGATGATTTATTGCGTTTCCGATTCCTGTGGGGTTTGCAGGAAATGACGCGCCGACGTTGTCACGCTGAGAAATATTCGCCCGATATGTTATGTTTCAAGAGATATACTCGACGCCGCCCTCAATTATGTGAATATTTTCTTTTTAATATAAGAGGTATCATGCTAATATCAACATTCGTCACTTAAATGGTTTCATTAACTTTGTAGACTGTGATGGTTTATTTATCTTATCCTTTTGCTTCTTGGATTACGTTAGAATATCCAATTTCTGAAATTAAAAGAATCGCTAATCTAATTATTTCTCGAAACAACACGTCAATAGATTTTACTGTTGATTGTTCAACAATAAAATATATTGACGTGTTGAAGAGAATGTCCGGGACTTAGCTGAATTTACGGGGCTCACCCAACCGCCTCTATTTTCCTACATTCTACTCACGATTGCCATGACAATCTGGGTCAATGAGCGCGGTGTTACTTTTTATCCTGTTCACAATCAGACGACCAAAATACCCAATAAATTTTAATAAGTATATGCTAATAGTACACAGGATTTTATGGTGTTTCATTTAAATGCTAAAGTAAGGGGATTGAATGTCATAAATAGTCGTCCCGTCACCCGTTTCTTGTTAATAGAACTTCATAGAACAATCACTCTATGCATGTAAATATAGTTAGGTAAAAAGTGTATTTTAGAGAGATACATATATATATATAACTATGTAAAATAGACAATCTGCTAGAAGTACTAACAGACACAAAACAAAATCCAATATAAAATAAGTCCTTTAAAAAACGTTGAACCAATTTCATACAATAGTAACAAAGAGCACTAAAAACCTAACAGCAATCGTGATTGATTTGCTGACACTTTTTGAAGATTGCCGTTGTCTGTCTCCGAAAGCCATCATAAGGTCTATATGAAATTTTAACAGGACCATTTCGGAATAAACCCTTTTCGAACAAAAACAGAATTTTGAAAATCCGTCTATACATGACGGAATTATGACAGAACATACATAAAAAAATAACATCTGAATTGATAACCTCCTCCTTTTTGAAGTCGGTTAAAAATTATAAACACTACTCGTACATATATTTGCGTAAACTATTCAATAAAAACTTTTAGAAACAAGAACAGGTACGTCTCTCATTTGTTGTAAGTAGTTTGGAATAATCTGACTAATTAAAGTTCATGCTGTACACGTAATCACCGAAGAAAATATGCCGTGGAGTTCATTCAAAGGCATAAAAACACATATGCATGTTACTTAAAGGTAAATATGGGAGAATTAAAAGAGGTGCACACAAGCGCCTACGTTTGATACGAAGAGCCGAGCTTACGTTTTTCTTTGTAAGCGAGCTGAGTAAGGCGCAAAAAAGCGACTGCGATTATGTTCCAGGCAACGGAAGCTCGACCCGCTCTTTGCTCCTTCAAAAGAAACTCAGCAATCCAGACCGAGGGAGAATGTCTTTGTTAACATAATAATACGTAAGTAAACACCGACATAAGTCGACGGTTTTATCGTTCTGTTAGGTACGTAAGTACTTGTTTTATTTCCCTGGAATAGAATCTGTTTTATAAAACTTTTATGAATATGTGTAAGAATGTAAAACGGTCGTTCTTAATTATTATTTTAAAAGGTTAAAAGATTGGATTAGATTGACTTATTTTATAATTACTTCTAGAAAACTGCTTAATTAACTTAACCTTTATATTGGGTTTAGATCGGGGGATCACGCTGGCCATGGAATAACCTTAATATTCGAATGTTGAAGAAACCATTCACTAACAACTAGCACGGTATATCAGCCACAATTTTATCTCGAACAAAACTCTTTTACTAATGTCTTCCACTGTGGGATAAACATTGTTCACAGTAGGTGGTGTTATGTCATTCAAAACCTTGACGTCGCGCGCGTCGTTGAGATCTAGTTGGTATGAAACCATTTGTTTCATATTCACCAACCATAAACCGTCGTTGAGTCTTGTTAATAAGCAGTGGCTGGTTAAACATTTTTTTCGCCCAACGTAGCTTTCCTCTAAAAAACAATTCGCATTGAATATTTTGACCCAACACCTAAAAAATGTATGTTAAAATAATACACCACAGTTAATATCACATAATCGAACAAAATACTTAAGCGGGTTTTATTGAATTTATTATTCATTTCAGATAAATTAAGCCCACTGTTATGCAAAACCATAATGTTAGCCATGGCTTCAATACTAATATTTACTTGCATTTTTACTAATATTTGCCTGATTTTTAAATACAGATATTCAATATAAACACCACTAGCAGCAATAACTGATTGTAGCAACCGATGTTGTAACAAATTTATTACAACCAATAAATTCAAATTGTTTCAAATCTACCCTCAACTTCTAGTGACTACTAGTTCCAAATATTGAATCAATGATTTGTATTCTTTGACCTCCTATTAGTTACTATAATCATAAACAAGAAGTTTGTGTAATATACTTTCATAGAATAAAGTCGTAAGTCCAACTAGTTCAAATGCTATAACTTTTTGAAAATGCTACTGGACTTATGACTGCCACCGTACATAGAGGTATTATTATTATTATTCAATATTCTAAGGAGAGGCGTATGTTCAGCAGTGGACTAGTAAAGGCTGTTG